GTAAGAGGTAGCTTCCGCCAGAGTTGTTTATCGTCTTTTAGTTTGGTAGACTGGGATTAGAGCGAGATTTGTTTGTTTCAAAAAATAGCAAGAACGGAAATGATACTCTGCAATGAGAGAAACACAGTGACTGAAAGTGAATGGCAAGCGACTGACATAAAACATGGCACACCCAAAACCTAGCGTTGAATTTCAACACAGGATCAAATCAAGTAATTAGTAATAAATACAAAATCGAGCTCATCTCATAGTATAATAATGTGTATTTTTTCCAGTATTGTGTTTAGTATTTTTGATAAGAAAATGGGGGGTTTGACTTGCGTGAACAGAGCTTTGGTGTGCCATGTTTTATGTCAGTTGCTTGCGGGGGTCTGGCTAGCGACTACCGCACAGTTGTACTTGGCACCACCTGATCTGTGCATGGATGTCCGGAGGCCTGAAAGCTGTTTCCCCAACTCGGTAAGCATAGAAATAAGTGTAGTAACTGCCCTCCCAGGATGCGCAGCTAATTACCTAACCCAACGCCTGAATCAATGCTGCTTGGCTCTGCTGTGTGCTGCCCCGCTGAACATGCGCTTAGAGGCTGATTTCCCTCTGCTGTTGCGCTAAGCAGAATCGAGGAGGCCACCACCGCTACCTCCTTCCACCAACCACTCCCACTGCCGGCTTGGAAATGTGCTGAGCCACTGCGTTCAACCTCCAACTCAAGGATCCCAACCCTACCACCCCCAAGTATATCTTGCGGCGCTCATACAACAACATCAGCCTTCCTGGCGATACGTTCCTCTCACTTAGGTATGTACCTCGCCTAAATCCCTGTCGCGTACGGCTGGGCACGGCATGTCTCGCCCACCTGTCCCTCGCTCGTGCAAAGTCCCAACCTACGTCACGGTGTCGCCCCGACCCCTCGTGTGCTCGTCCCATCCCCCAAGCTGCCTCAACCGTTTTGTCTAGTGCCCCTTCTAGATTCGCCAATTCCATTTCGCTCCCATATAAACCTTGTTTTCATCCTATTCCCCAGCTGGGCGGCTACCATCTGCCTTGTGAAGAGGCCGTTACATTCGCAGCCTGAAGCACTACCCCACAGTGTCGGAATCCCATCCAGCTAACAGATCTGGTATTTCTAGAAAGCGAGATTGTGCACACGCACCTCCAAAGAGCACGAGACTTATGATCTTGAGCTAGGACACTCCACCTAGAGACCCCTCTTCCGACCCTTCCGTACCATTTCCTGTCTTCAAGAGCCTGTCGCCACCTAGCCCAAGAAGCGCAAGAGCCAGCGAAAAGCCAGCGAAGAGAGAGACCCGTGGTATCGAGTCTGTATAGAAAAAAATATTTATCGTCGGTGAAACGCCAAACATCGGCATCGACGTTCTTATCAACAAAGCTGGCAGGCAATAAGCGACGCAGTCTCTCCTCCCAAGGAGGAAGTCTGCTAAATAGAATGTTTGGTGGTGGTTCCAACTCCGGGTCTAAAGGCGAACCTGATTCCTCTAAGACTGAAAACAAGTCCCCTTCTCGCGAGGCGAGCCCGGGTGCGAACCCAATCAAGGCGACAAACCAAACTACTAGCGGCGAGAAGCGCAGTGGTAATGGAAGCCCCCCTGGCAGGAGTGACAATGGGCCCTCCACGGATAAGAAGCGCAGGAGTAGCGGTGTTGGAGGCAAGGCTAGCAGTCTCTTGGCCTCGGCCAAGAATAGCTTGAGCTTCAACCAAGGCCGAAGCAACTCTGGTTCGGAGGCCCAAGGTCCTATTCAGAAGCTGGGGAAACAAGACCCTGCTTTGGCTGTCCCGCAGGGCCAGCATAACAACTCTGCAGGGGAATCGCTCCCTGGGCCCAGATCTACCTTTCGTGTCGGCGTCTGGGAAGACAGGAATAAGAAATGTCGCCGTACGATGGAAGACACGCACGCCTTTTTATACAACTTTCTACCTACCCCGGCCCCTGCAACAGATGCGCAGGACAAAGAGAAGGGTGACGATGCAGAAACCTCTCAGAATGACGCTGTTGAGACCGATAATGGCTACTTCGCTATTTTCGATGGCCATGCTGGTACCTTTGCAGCGGACTGGTGCGGAAAGAAGCTACATATTATTCTCGAGGATATCATCAGAAAACACCCGAATGCGCCTATCCCTGAACTCTTAGATCAGGCATTTACATCGGCTGATGCCCAGCTAGAGAAGCTTCCAGTTAAGAACAGCGGCTGCACAGCCGCCATTGCTGTCCTGCGCTGGGAAGATCGGGTCCCAAGTGATAGGTCCGCAACTGGGTCCCAGTCCATAGCACCGGCAGCTGCGGCTGTTACCAAAGCCGCCAAAGCCGATGACCCATCTGCTTCCGACAAGGACCAAGAGCAAGCTGCAGCGGACATCCTGACAGCTACTTCGTCTGAATCGGCCCACGCCAAGTTAAAGGGAACCGCCAGCCGTCAGCGAGTTCTCTACACAGCCAACGTGGGAGATGCGCGAATCATCTTATGTCGCGCTGGTCGAGCCCTTCGCTTGTCTTATGACCACAAAGGTAGTGACGAGAACGAGGGCCGACGTATCGCGAATGCTGGAGGATTAATTTTGAATAACCGTGTGAACGGAGTCTTGGCAGTCACACGAGCTCTGGGCGACACCTATATGAAGGATCTTGTCACGGGCCATCCCTACACGACAGAGACGGTAATTCAACCTGACAGCGACGAGTTTATCATCATAGCTTGTGATGGAGTAAGTTACTTTGGAGCCAATTCTTCACACTGTCTTGACTACATGCTAATATGAATTCTCATTTACTTAGCTCTGGGATGTTTGCAGTGACCAGGAAGCCGTTGACTTGGTGCGAAACATCGACGATCCTGTCACTGCATCCCAGCTTTTGGTTGATCATGCTTTGAGCCGTTTCAGTACCGACAATCTGTCGTGTATGATTGTGCGACTTAACAAGGAGGCGCTTGTGCATACCCAGCAGAGCAAGGATTTGGGAGTCGAGACAGAGAACGCTCCGACCAGAGCTACCGAAGCAGACAAGATTGTGGAAGATACGAAGCAGAAGATTGCTGATGGGACTGCACCGGCCGTTGGCGTTTCTGCCAGCAATAGCGGACGTGGCTACGATCCGACCACAAACGAAGACGGGGAGTTTATACCTACCACACTGGACGGTACCGTGTTGGAGGAGGAGCCGGAAGCCATTTCGGATACTGAGAGCCTCGAACCTAAACCGAAGGTGGAGAAGATTGCATCGGAAACAGAGACAGCGAAGGCGGAGGCCGACAAGTCAAAGTCCTGACCCGACTGGAGTGCCTCGGCTGCATAGGCTCTGAATCGCAGTCCGCACCAGGCACCAGAAACCAGGCATTTGGCATTAGGCGCTTGCTATATTTTTTTTGCTGTGCATGTTTCGAGAAGAGAAGGTGTACGGGGAAACGACGCGAGCACTCTACGTATTAGCATTGAAGATTCGTGGAATTACTAGTATTCCTGCGTGTGAAAGAACTCGAATTAAATGATTGAACTATATTATATGCCTCGTGCTGGCTGATTGACAAGCTACGAAGGAACGAACTGTTCTGGTGGCGGGTGTTTGCTGGGTGAGACGGAGGGAAATGATGCAATCTTGGGGGAGAACCGGGGACCTCCCTGATGGTGTGTCTGAGGAGGTGCGTTTTGGTCGGAGTTTGTGCCATTTCGAAGGAGCATTATTAACGAACGGCTGGGAACCCGTCACATAGCAGCGCGCCCCTATTAGACGTCTATATTTAACCCAATTGCTGGGTAGTAGTGAACTACGTAGGTACGTACATATACGATCATACAGTGGATGGACAGACAAGGCTGGGACGGCATCTGGCAGTGATGTATGAGTGTGATACGGACTCTCGCGGCATGGTGGAAATTGGCCACCAGCACGGATTATACATGGCGCTACTGAACGAAACGTTACTACCTTGTGAACTTGTGCGTTAACTGTCGCGCGTGTGGCATGCCTGACTTTGCCATGCCTGGCGAGGAGCGGATATCAATAATATCGGGAGGACAGCGCCATCGAGTGTAGGCACGTCCCCTTAGGGAATAGTTTGTGCCGGTCTCTCATTTACCTGCCCACCCCCTGAGCAAGTCTTTAGAGCCCCTGGGTGCCAAGGTGCAGAAGCCCCATTTCTGCCCCTGTCGAGGCCCCCGCCCCCCTGCAGACCCGGTCCCATCATCCATTGCCTCCAATGGTCTTGAGCCATTGGGGCTGGCCTTGGGTAGGAAGGAGCAGTCGCCTCTGTCTACAGCGGCACAAGAGCCAGCATCTCGAAAATTATGCTGTGGTGCTCCCTGAAGCACTGATCCAATCCTGCCTGCCCTCCCCGAAGACACGCCACCACAACCACCATCACATTCTTTGGGAGGGCACCGAGAGACCCAAGTTTGTTTTCTATGCCAACTCCCTCCCTGGCGAAAGATGCGACCTCTGCGCCTATCTTTGGTTTGAAACAAGCGCCCGTTCTCTTTGTCTGATCTGATTCCAGCAATCCTTTCTTCTTTCTGCTGGCGGGGAGTCAACTTTCTACATTGGATTTGTTCGTGCCCAGTGCCCTCCGCAGCTTTCTATAATCACTCACTCGTTGCCTATTCGTTGTTTTGTTCGCGGTTTTCCTTCACGTTCACCCACGGTCATTTTCTCCTTTTTTAGATTGCTGTTTCTTCACGAGTGTGTTCCGTCTACCAACCATCATATTTGCGCGCCTCTCCCCCCTTGCAGAGGAGGTTCTCAATTCGGCAGTCACGGCCCCCCTCGATCCAGCCTCGAAAGCGATTCTTTGTCTGTCGCCACACCCCAATGCGCAGCACGCCCGACCGATTGCGTGTCGATATCTGTGCGCGGTACCAGCATCTGATACCCAGCCCTCGAGCCAACGAACCCGTGCCGCCGCTCAGCCATCGGAACGGTGCGCCAGACCTGCTATTGGAATATTCTCTCAACTCGTGCTTCTCTCCGCATGGGGACGGATCATAAGGCATGTCGTTGAATGGATTGGACGATCCCAAGGTCGCAGAGGCCTATGTAACGGCTTCGGCTGAACCTGGAGGATGGTAGGTGCTTTGTCCATTGCTGTATATGCGTTTGGTGAGGGTGTCGCACACGAGGCAGGCGCTAATCTTTTGCCAGGTTCCTTCTGAAATATGCGAGTCGTGATGAGGTCGAGCTGCTCAGCAGTGGCACCGGTGGTGTTGCTGAGATGCGTGGTGCTGTGACGGCATATGATGAGACGAATCCACTATACGGTTTCTTGAAATATAGAAGGAGGAATGTCCTGGTCAAGTACCTGCCGGAGGGTTGTTCTCGTCTCATTCAGGGTGCGTGGTACTTTGACAGGCGTGATCTGGGTTTCTCTGACTTTGTATGCTGACACCATTGTAGCACGTGTGGCCGTCCACTTTAATGCCGTCTGTGAGCGTTTCTCGCCGTACGATTCACAGTTTGATATGACCGCAGCCGAAGACCTAGCCGACGCGAAATTATCACCTGCATGCTCGCTGCACGCTGCCAAAGGCTCGAACTCGTCCTCGAGCTCGCGCAAGAAGCATCTGATGGAAATTGCGGAGGAGGATGAAGAGGAGCAGCAACCTACGAAGCGCCAGTCACTCATTAAGGAAAAAGAAAAAGATAGGGAACAACTGAAAGGAAGTGATGAGCGCCCCACGACCACAGGGGAACCTGTCACTCTCAACTCAGATTTGGCTGCGTCATTGGAAAATAGCAAGTTTTCGGCACCTACCACTTCCGAAGTGCCAACATTCGTTGGGTCCGTTGAACCGTCACCGCCAACTGAGAACGCCCCGCGCCTTTCTTCTCAATCAAGCCGCGCCGAGGTTTTCACGTCCTACTCTGCCTATTCATATACAAGCAAACCCAAGGTCAAACTGGGACCCCGCCCCTCGCTCGACACGACTATTATCCGACCCCAGACCGCAGGAAACTTTCGCCCCGTATCTTCTATTCCCGCCGGCTTGAAACTCTTTGGAAAGGGAAGCAGTTCGAGCGCAAGGCGGCGCAAGGACAGTGCGGGCAGCAGCAACGCTCCCGCATCACCCCGAAGCGAGATCACCGACTTTGCTTTCAGCGCAGCGATACCAATCCCCGAAGAACCGACCAACAAATTAACGCTTGATGTTCCCAGACCGGCAACAAGCTCAGGTGTTTCTACGAAGAGCGGCGTCAGCACAATCATGTCAACATCAATGAAGTCGGCTATGACACCTGAAAAGGCACGATTGAAGAAGGCATTGCAGCTCAGAGAAAAGAAGAAAAAGAAGAAGGAAGCGCAGTCCCCTTCGTCACCATCCCTTACTTCGCCAGAGATTCCTGATACGGTATCTGTGCCGGTGACTCCAGATTCTGCAGTTCCACATGGAGATGAGACAGACTTGACGGCAGATGATAAGGCATCTGAGACTAAGGCCGATGATTCGGGCGTCGGGATAGAGACCTCCACGGCCTCAACGAAAGGCGACCATGCATCTGAGGGTACACAGCCAGATTCCCGACCTGTAAGCCCTGTCGTTACATCTTCTGAGGCTGGGGAATCTACCAAGGCCTCCTCTGTATCAGAATCTACGGATCAAACTGTGGTAGAAGAAGGTTTAGGAGATGGATCCGATGCGAAACCTCCTGCTGGCTCTCCAGAGCCAGACGGCTTGGTAGGCGATCATGCGACAGAGTCAAGTGTGGCGAATAAGGAGCAAAATGATGCTTCTGCACCAGAGTCCAAACCTGCTACTGTTGCACCACATCTGTCGGAAGAGATGAAGCCTGACAATGCACACAGAAAGGCGGAGCATGGTAGCGACCAATCAGAGAGCGCAAACACTGATCATGAACATGCAAAAGGGGAAAGTCAGGGCTGCAAGGATGCTGAAACTTCAAATCCGGCTGGGGAGCATAAACAGAGTGGGGCCGATCCCCGAGTTAATGCTGCTCAAAGTGTTCAAGTTTCATCAATCGCGCCGCAAGACCAGGCTCTCGAAGATCAGAAACCTGAGACAGTTGGCACCCCGGAGATGTCCTTGGAGGATATAGAAGCCAAACAAGCCCAGCCAGATATCATGACCGGACCCAATGCTTTGTCACCCAAAATCCAGCTACCTGATTCAGCGACTTTTCCAGATATCGCGGAAGACGACACCGCTACTCCCGTTGCCCGGGCCAACGCCAACGATTCCTCGGCTGATCAGGCAACCGAGAGCGAATCTGAGTCAGTAGTGGCAGCCCGTGTCAGGAAATCCTCTATTGCCAAGCGCAAGGCGAATGTAGAGCCGATCAAAACTGATTTAGCTAATCGAGGTCGAGCTGCTTCTCAGTCTGACAGCGATCTCTCTGACGACGATAGTCTGTTGGAGGAACTTCAGAGCGCAACTGTTCATGAGGCCAAGCCTATCACTGTTTCGAAAACACCACTCACACCTGTATTTCCCGGAAGACTGAACAGTAACAGCGGGATGACTACTTCAACCGCATCACCCCCCATCCAGGCAGGACCGTTTGCAGCGCCTCTCATGGCGAAGCCGCAAATGATTCGGACAGCTTCAAACCCAGTGCGCGGGAATCTGATTGCTCCCCCATCGGATGTCAGCCAGTCTTCCGCTCGTTCTGTAAGTCAGGGAGCTGCCTTCCTGCATCAGGTCACCCAGCAGCGAACTGCAGATGGAACGTTAGCCAAGAAGACCAACATGGGCTCGAGTATTTCTCAACGTATCAAAGCGTTAGAGAGGCTCTCAGTAAAACCGGGAGACGCGCCATCTCAAGCCAACTCTAGACCTTCGTCATCCTTCTTCTCTGTAAAACCCAGAGCCCCTTCTAGGTCACCATCTGTGGTGGACCGTACAACCTCCCTCTCCAAGGACAATCGCCCATCGACGGCCCATTCGAGAGACGATTCCCCAGAAGCTTCTAGGTTCCATCGTGAAAGGTCAGGGTCCATCTCCAGCCGACTCTCTGTCTTTGAACTAGGTAACTCGCCTGGCAATACGCCTCGCGGTAGACCCGAGACAGTGTCTGTTACGGCTAGAATCATCCGGGATTCACCTTCAGCGTCTCGCACACCTCCCGAATATAACAACCCCGTCGAGTTGAAGCAGTCCGCATTACTTGTCGATCATCAGAAGTCTGATGCTGTGAGTTCCCCGCCTGAGCCTGTTGAGGAGGCGGTCCCAGAGAAGACAAAATCGCATCGTCGCAACGAGAGCAAGGACAGCGAGACACAGCGATCCTCTTTTAATGTTGTTAAGGAATTCATTAAGGAACATCGCAAGTCGATCGTCTCCTCACCCTCTTCCGAGGGACCTCGCTCACCTACTCGACCACCTTCAACGCACCAAAATACCACATTTGTTGGCCGCCTCTCTATGAGCAGCAGGCGGTCACTGAGCAAGGATCGGGATCTGACGGCATCGCCTTCTGTCGGTACAGACGGATCCGTCTCTGGCGATGATTCCAAATCAACAACTAGCGACAAGAAGATGTCGCGTGCAGGGCGATTGATGCGACGACTCTCTTCGTTCTCCGGTCCCAGCAAAGGACACAAGCATAACAATGCCCCATCCACGAGCGGCACACCCACAGTAGCAGAAGAAGACACGGAGGCGGTTCAACCTGTGAAGAACAGTGCCCCCTCTATCGTGGCAGACTTGGGAGATGTTAATGTTCAATTCCCAGACACTCTGCTCTGGAAACGCCGTAACATGTACCTCGACTCACAAGGCTTCGTGGTACTTTCAGCACTTGCGCAGCAGCAACATCAGGCTTCAAAGGGACCAGCAACAACAGGTGTTAAGAAATACCATCTCTCAGAGTTTAAGACCCCCTACACGCCTGACGTCGAGGTACAAGAACTACCAAACAGTGTCGTGCTAGACCTGGTTGAAGGTAGTGCCGTACAAGTGGCTTGTGAAGACCGCACTGGACAATTACATGTCTTGGAAGGTAAGTTGAGTTTGTTCCCCAATGATGAATGAATGCGGGTCCTAATGAGAGAATAGTTCTTCGAAGCGCTCATGTCAAGCATGCCGGGAACTAAATATTCTCGATCTGACATACAAAGCGACGCCCGTGATGCCGAGACATCCACCTTGCTGTCTTCAAAACATTCACTTGGCCCCTCGGCTGCATCACACCATCACCCACTTCACTTCCGATGCAGCCATGGGCGCACAACCTTTCAGCCTAGCCTAATTTTGAGAGTGATCCGAGGAGCGATCCATAAGGACCGTTGCTGAACACACTCTCTCTTTACGTTCTCTTCTTCTCTGTTCTTTCACGTTTTCTTACAATGTTCTAGATATATATTATAACTACCCCCGTGTTTGTCGTTAGCTGACTCACTACGTACCTACATTTCCCGAGGCTCCGGGACCTTTTGATATTTGCTTTCATAATCTTATTATTTCTAGTTAGTAGTTGAAAAAATCGAATGGCGAAGACGCCATAGGAGATCTACCTGGCGTGGCGACATGGCCGTTTCCTCAGCAGGTTGAGGGCGCCAGAGTCCTGTTTGGATCTACCCCTGCATGATGTTTGGATCAGAACTTGTCATAGCTTAGCGACTCATTCCACTCATACGGAGCAGGGCACCATGATTGCGAGGAGGAGATAGGGAGAATAGAAGGCAGGGCTACTGTCTGTTGCGAAGGAAGAATGGCTCTGTTCTGCTGTAGTAACTAGGTACCTTGGCTGAATTGATTTTCCAATGGACGATCAAGATTGATTGCTGCCTCTAGTGATAGTTGCATATGACCATGGTCGACGTCTGACGTATTCTTACCTTCTGCTCCCAAACCTAACATTGAGGAGCGGACATCTGTTGAAGACTATACTTGATATTTGCAACGAATGTGAACGGTTGCGAGGGGCCGATGATTCATTGAGATAGCCCGCCCATATTGTATGAATAAGATATCCAATCTCATCTTGGTCTTGATTTCAAAGCATCGCTACATGTTATTAATAAGAGTGGAATAACCATCTACGAGGTAGTTGCTCTCAACAGGGACCCCCTTGCACCGTCATGGCCGATTAGAAAATTTGATCTGTCCGGCGGTTTGCTCCACATAAGACCGCAACAAGATGCGGACGTGTAAACCACCAAAGTGACTGGCTCAGATGCGAATAAGAGGAAACTGACGAAGGCAGAAAAAGTATAAAGAAGGGATGTCTCTGTCTTTCTAGAGTTATGGAGGAAGCATTCCATTTTCACTCTTTACCAGGTACAGACTGGGCTATATCTTCTCACTCGCCTCGGACTTTCTCATCAAGATGCGGTTCCTGAACTTCATTACAGCCATTTCATTGGCGCCTCTGGCTTTGGCTTTCCCTCTCAACTTGACACAACCTGGGACGATTCCAGGGACTACTAGTCACTACAGCGAAGTGAGAGGCCATACGTATCATTACCTCCTCGCTGAGCCGAGTTCAGATCCAAAAGGGACTGTTCTCCTAGTACACGGCTTGCCTGATATATCGTACGGATGGCGATACCAGGTACCGGCCCTCACAGCCCTTGGATACCGAGTCATCGCTCCGGACATGCTGGGCTACGCAGGGACAGACTCGCCCAGCTCGCTCACCCACTGGACTCACAAGGAGCTGGCCACGGACCTGGTCAACCTCGTCGGCCAGATCGCCCCCGGCGAGCAGGTCATCCTCGGCGGCCACGACTGGGGGGCCGGCCTGGTCTACAAGGTCGCCATGTGGTACCCGGACTTCGTCAGGGCCTTGTTCACCATCGCCGTGCCCTACATGCCGCCGTGGCTCGGGCTGTCCACCGACTGGAGGGACCTGTCTGAGCTCGTGGCTGATGGGACTTTTCCTACACTCGGCTACCAGCTGCAGTGGCGGGACCCGTCCATCGACCGCAACTTCACGACGCCGGCGCAGATCAGGATGATGTTCAACACCGTCTTCGGCGGGACTACACCCGAGGGAGCGTACGGGTACTCCGTCAGCGAAGGGTTCCTCTACGATGTGATGCCCCTGCTGGAGCCGAACCCCCTCGTGAACTCCTCCGACATGGACCTCTACGTCAACAGCATCGCCAGGCACGGCGTCCGCGGGGTCTTCAACTGGTACCGCACCCGCAGGATGGACTGGGAGGATGAGCTGCCCCTCGCTAGAAAAGGCGCGTTCCGGTTCAGGATGCTGTCGCTCTTCATCCCCGCGCTGAAAGACATCTCAATGCCGGAGGAGTACTACAGGAACATGCCCGAGTACTTTGACTCTTTGGCGATACGGGCGGTCGACGCAGGGCACTGGACACACTGGGAGGGGAGGGAGGAGGTGAATGAGATATTGGCTGGCTGGGTCAAATCTTTGAATTAGAGACTTGTTCTTTTACCTCTCTGCTCTCGAACATTCCGAAGTTTTATTCATGTGATAGGGGAGTTGGGATGCGGGTGGGGAGATGGGAGTGTTCACGATATGGCAGATGCCAAGTATTTTGCATGTAACCAACAAATTCTAGCTACACATTATATTATTACTTATCATTATAAATTCACAAAATACAATCACTCGGATTCTTATTCTAACAAGCAGAAAAGCCAAGGGTGCTCACGTTGTGGGGGACCATCCACCGGCAGCTGTCAACGGCTGAAGTGCTGATGGCAAACCAGCGCAGACCGCAAGCAAAACAGATCGAAAAAAAAAAAGAAAAAAAAAGAGAGAGAGAGAGAGAGAGAGAGAGAGAGAGAGAGAGAGAGAATGAAGAAGAAAAATGCGAGGTCGAGGTAACGACCAGTGGTAAACTTACGTTATCTAGGATGGCTACGAATCCCGAGCCTATATTGTAATGAAGGCTCAAGCTGAGGCGTTACCATCTGAACCAGTTACTGACCCCGCGTGTTGACTGAGGTGATTCTATTTTGGGCTATAGCACGTGGACAAAGGCGCATCCCGTTTCTCCGTGTCTGCCATTGGGAGAAGTAAATGAACTACAGTGGCAGTGGCTAGGGCAGCTCTGCCACACAGGCTTGAGCTGTCGAGGTGCGCATCCCGCGGGAAGCTGCTCGCTCTGCGCAGGATATTTTGCAGGGCTTGCGCGTACGCATCCATTCTCGTTACTCTGAAACGGAAGAAATATGGTTACATACCTATCCAAGAGTGATAATTATAAGAAGGGGACGCTTGAAACATCAAGAGCTGATATCCCGAGCACCAATATAGCATGGCAGATACTAATGTTCCAAGCTAGGATTCGAGGAGCTGCAGTCTCAACGTAACCCAGGGCTCAACTGGCTGCTTTTCAGGTTTCAGCTATCAGAAGTAGATGAATCTCTGACTGGAGGGTGTACTCGTTCTTCTAGATCGTTTAGCATGCTGTGTATGCTGACACTCTTCAACCAGGAGTCAGGCTCTTCACATGTACACTATTTTATCCGAGTAATTGCAGAACAGAAAGCTAATCCCCGATTTGCTGGTCGTATTTTACATAATTGATACTATATATCATCACAATTGATATATCCTCCTTCCCACCCCTGCTCCCAGTTCTCGCACACCATTCCTCAGAATTGTGCTTCCTTCTTCCTTCTCATGCTGATCTTGACTACGTACGATGGACCAATACGACTTTTCGTATTCTGAATATTAATCTAAGAGGAGAGGGTAGCTATCCCACATTGGCGCACCTCCACGGCAGTGCCTCGACCACCTTTTACTCGAGCGACACAAGAGCCCAAGTCACATCCACCATCACGAACTCGCCATGTCAGACCGTCCACTCTTTGTGGCCCTGTTGATCCTTCACTGGTAGCAGTTTCACAACATACTCACACTGTTCTTTATATACACGCTGAACCACCACCAGCAAGCAGAGGAACAGCCGTCCACTCCCACGTTTCATGACAACTCTAAAAGACCCATGCGGAACTTGTTGACGAGATGGCATAGCCGCCAGGTGGACTCACTCCTGCAGAGCACATGCATGCATGCACACACACGCAGCCTCACCGTTCGGGAAGGTGGGAGCAGATAAGCGCCCGCCATATAGCCGCTCGTTACTCCCCTTCTCCAATATTTCATCGGGTAGTCCGAGGGGCTAGGAAACTAGCGGTATGATATATTGGAGTCTGGCCTGTCGGAATAGAAAATCATGATTGGACATCTGTACGTCACTGTCACTCGGTAGCCCTCATCCTTCAACACCTCCATGAACCCCTCCTTGAGAAATGAGGGGCATCTCGCTCACCCGTCTTCTCATATCCAATATTCACGGAAGGCCCGAGTGAGACTGTAACATCAGGACAGCTGGAGGGAAATGTCTCTCTTTCATCATTGGTATCTCGCTAGGTCTTTCGTCCCCTCAGTATTCCTCCCATGCTGTTTTTGTTCCCCCCTCCCTCCTCGTTCAAACCCATCCGTTTCCTCCCTCGCCTAGCCCTCCCCAGTCTCTCTTCCCCCCTAAACGTAGCACATGACAGTTTGTAGCGACAGCACCGTGTATGTGTATACACATATTTTACCTCTTCCAGCCGTATATTATGCACTCCAACACATACAAACATCCCCAGATCAGGCTCATACACACACCCCCCAGCATACTCCCGCCAATGGTATATCAACCACCCTCCACGTATAGTTGCCCCTTTTCAAAGAACGATAATAGATTTTTTGGTTCGCCCAAGATTCAAGCACCCTCATCACTCCTTTCGTGGCCTCTAAAAAGGCAAGAGATTCTTTCCGCACACAGAACCGGGCAAGATGGCGAAAATAGATGGCTCAAAAATAAAACGCCGCGTGAGCCCCATTGGCAAACCCCGTAGGAGGAATCCTTTTGAAGTCGAGCAGATCCCAGCCTTGAAAGGTGATACTGATACACCGCACGCACGCGCCCCCAATTCTCAAACACAACAAAAAAAAACCAATTAGTAAAGGAGGATGCCCGTGATATTCAAAAGAAAAGAAACACAATGGATGAAGTGAAGTGAAGGGAGTGAGAAAACAATATCCAAGAAAATGTTCGTGACTAGGTCGTGGTTCAGGCCCCGTAATAAGCTCGTCGAGAAAATCCAAGACAGAAATGGCTATGCTGTACCTCCAGAAAAGACGCCATCTGCATACTTGAAGAGTGCCAATCGTCATAAAATAAATAGCAAAACATATCCAACCATGTGACAAGGTCTATCGCGAATGATGTCAATCCCAATGACATGGCCGTATGGGATTCCCAAGTTTTCGCCATACTCGAACACCCCGGCCCATCGAGAGAACGAGTCATGCCGCAAAACACGACGAGAAAACAGGGAGTTGGTTCTTTCTGTCCGAGGATCGCCACATCTGAGTGCTTTGACCAGATAGTGGCCGCGGGTACATCGTCTTGGAATGATCGCCTTTGCCCCTCTCTTTGACAGGCTTTTCCTTCACTGCGTAGACCTCCGAGAAATGATGCTGAGTTCGAGTTATACACGCCAATTTTTGGTGATTCGATCCTTGGTAGAACTTCATATAATTCCGCCAGGAGGATCATATACCGCCGTGCCTGATCGTCCCGCCGTGCTCCCTACACCTGCAGGCCCACCGTCCTCTACAGGCGCCGTCGTTGTTCTCCTCAACATGAACATAGGTTTCTTGCCTTCCTTGTCCAGCTGTTTGAACAAGATCAGCGGCTTCTCATCCATCCCTAGACAACGCTCTTGATCGGCGTACACAATGTAAAGTGCATATTGATCCCAAGGGGCGTTGATCTGATACTTCTTGAGCGCTGCAGGGAGAACCTTGTGACAGGGGTCATCCATGCTAACACGGAAGCTCTTGAACATGTCGGCACCCCCCCGATCACTGGCGATACCGCCGGTAGTAGTCGGGGTATCTGCGGTAGGCGTTTCCCGCCTAATGGGCTTCGAAGCAACGCGAGGATAGTTGCCGTGGTCCGTATCGCTCCTTGCTGTTGCGGGTGATGGCTCGGCGCGGTAAGATCGTGAGGCCAGGGTGCCCAGATGGGTTTGTGGCGACGTGGGGGATGGGATGTTGGGAGAGGGGTATCCAGTAAGGGTGCTCTGGGCGGAGCCGTTCATTGCAGCCAAGTGCGTCGATGAAAGAACCGCCCGCTCAGCAGCCCCTGCAGGATCCAGGCTTGGCATCTCAGCTATTGACCTCTCATGCGTAGCTGTCGTGGGTGATGCATTTTTCGGTGTGGTACCAATCATTATCTTTCGTTGCGAGTACGCGCGCTTGGGTTGGGCTGTCCCTGGTGTGGTAACTGGCGGAGATAGCGTAGAGTTGTCGTATGAGTAGGAAACGCCACCGAGGTTCGGTAATGGTTGTTGTTCCTTGACTAATCGAAGAGCAGGTAGCATGTCTTCTCGTAATCGTCGGAAGTCCTCGGCCGTCCGTCGAAGATCCTGTTCCAGAAGATTCATTCGCTCATCCCTCAGCCGCAGCTGCTCTACTAAATGCTTGATGTCTTTGATGGTGGCTGTGGCATACTGGGCCTCAGCATCGGCGGCTGTTGATCCATGGTTAGCGGCGTCCAGGTGTCTGGGGTCGGGAGGTTAAAAAGCGATCGGCAGACGTACAGAGCGGCATGTAATGGTCACTTTCCATAGCGATATCCTGTGCCTTCTTCACATCGTAAACGCTCTTGAGAATGCTGAGTCGGTGTCCAACACTGGTGATGCCCATGCTCTTCAGATCATCGTGGTGCAGCGCCACCAGAGCCTCTCCAACAATTTCGTTCTCTGCAACCGCATCATCACTTGTTAGCAATCCAAACCTTGTGCGTGGTTTTCAATCACCCGGTTTTATCAACAAGACGTACGGATAAAGCGGTCGGCATATTGCTGCAGCCCGAGGCTTGCGATGAAATCGGCACACTCCTCCGCCGTCCATTCGGTGACGATTGTCTCGGGAAGGCGATCGGCGCTCGTCCGGTGCCCATATGTCGTGGGCGTGTGTTCTGCCGAGGTGGACAATTCAGAGTCGATGGGCGAATGCTCCGAGTCGTTGATGGGTGAATGGCCACGCTCGTACTCGTCGTCGGCATCCGACTCGGCGTAAGCCGTCCCTCCAGCGAACTCCATGGTCTCGACCCGACTGGCAGGTCGGCAAGGAGTCTGGAGAAAGGGGCAGGAAGGCTCGTGGAGAGCCGACCAGGTTTGTCTCGTGGATAACTAATGCAGCAGCGGAGACCTCTCCTGAGTCGCCGTCAGAAGAGATGGTCGGCGTGAGCGAGAATAAGCCAGCGTCGTGAGATGAACCCCCCGTCGGACGAGGTGGGTGGTTGTTGGTGTCGGCCACCGAATTGCGTCAGCCAGTCGTCCTGGCGGTTGGCATGGATTGTCGCGGCGGATCAGATGGCAAGCAGGCGGCTAGAGCGTTGGTTGGTGAGCAAGAGAGGGGACGAGTCGGGAGTGGAAAATTGTACCCTCTCGATCGGCGGACCCGGAGGAGGTGGTGAGGCCCAGGCGGCTACAAGGCGATGAAGGGAGAAATGCGAGGCAGGGCAGAGCGGGCGAGGATAGGCAGGTGCTTGCGTCGGTCTTGTGTGTGTGCGTGTTCGTGTGCGTGAGGGTGGTTCAGCATTCTCATCAACGTACGTTGAGCGATGGAACGGCTGGAAAGGTCCAATCCAAGCCCGACTGGCTGCTCGGTCCCCACCCTCAGGTCCCAATGGAAGTGGACGCTGGCTCGCTAGCTGGTGGTGGTGGTGGTGCTACCGTCAGTGCCCGTAGGGACCTACCTTACCTAGCAGCCAGGCTCCCCATCGCAAGTTAGTGCTCAATTGGAGGACACGGGCAGGTTTTGTGGGCACCGGAACCCCCAGCCTGTGCCGCCGACAGCTCGAGGTAGGTAGAACCCCAAGCAGGCGGCAGAGGAAGAAATGAGACACCAAATTGATAAGCACTATCTGCAATAACCCGGGATTACAATAATCAAAATGTTAAATTGATGATATCGACTGCATTGTCTCTTTGATTTCTTAATCTCGTCCGCAATAGTCGCAAAATATTTGTCACAGCAAGAATGGATAGACCATGGTGTATCGATTTCAATGCCACCTGGTTGAGCCCGGAGGCACCGTCCAGTGGGTGCACCTGTAGGTGACAGGGTGGAGAGAGGGGACTGAGGGGAAGGGAGCATACCGACCGACGCCTGGCCATGTCGGTGGCTGCTGTGTGGTTTTTTTAGCACAGCTCTAGCCACTCTCTCCTCTATGACCCCCTCTACCACCGTTTTATGTGGCAGACTTACCACCTAGCGCAGGCGGGTAGGCCTTGGGCTGGCTTGTGGAAGGGCGAGAGATCCCCATGGCACGGCACCTCAGCCACTCAGCCTCCGTTCGGATAGGTGTACACAGAGGTAGAGATGGGGGCCCCAGTCCGCTCTCTCCGGGTACGTACCCAGGACGTCCAGGCCCCTAGTTCTAGCGGTAGTCAGGTACAGAGACGCCGTGGCCAGGGCGCTACTCCCTACTGGTAGTCGCTCCCGCGTCCCCACAGAAGTAGCATTAGAGTGTGGCACAGCTGCCAGAGCGACCAACCGAATTGCGAAATCAACAGGCGAGGAACCTAATGATAGATACAACGGCAGCAGTTCGATCAATCCTTCCGGCCTGCAGTTGATCACCTCCAGCTTCTCTGCAACCCAAGGACGGGCGGGGGACCAGGACCGTTGTCTACATATCAGCATAAATCCCCCCTCGAAGGGCAGGAGCTGGGTTCTCTCAGGCTGGCTGGCCCCACCCAGAGTCGAGCTTCTGTCCTTCCACCGGCGCAAAAGCAACACCAAAGTGCTGCAGGGTTTCCCCCAATGTCAGCAATGCCCACCGGCGAGAAGAGAAGAAAAAAAAAAGCACGGTCCCTCGGGCCAGGCAAGCCCATCTTCATATTCAACAGACCCAGGTAATAATACCAACATCTCGCCTATCCAGGCGCAGGCTCAGCATTCTTGGCTTGTTGATCGCCACCTCACCTTTGTTCCCAACTTGCGCGCCCCCGTTTCTCGAGCGTGAGACACACAAGGCTCCCATTCCAGCCCTCGTATCGGCCCCAGGTTTCAGGTTTTGACCTTGGCTTCTACATGCTGAAAGCTGAATGCGCTAGAACAATTAGTCCCCTTGGCCCACTAGGTGCTCGGATTGTGCCTTCCACGCAGTAAGGGGAGGGTTTGCGAATCGAAATCTCAGTTTTTCCCGCAAGGGGGAAAATAAACGGTAGATGTCGAAACCCTGGCTATCGCATGATGATCAGCATCTTCAGTTACTCTCCTGGATACCGGCACGGTGAAGCTACCCAGTCAATGGAGAAAGGCTAAGCGTGGAGAAAAGTGGCGGCGGCAGTTCGTCTGGCGAATCCTGTCATCACCAGCTTGGCGCGCGCATCCGACCTATGATAGTGCCTGCATATTCCAGAGCTAATAGCGAGTCGATTTGCTCCACAGATAGTAGAGCTACTTCAACAGTTCGGCTTTCTCTCTTCCGTCTCTTGAATAGTCGGATCGTGTAGGTACTCGTAAAAGAACAGTCAGTAGAGGACCTACGTCACCATATCAAGCTGAACGAAACCCCACGTGGACAGAAGGAGCTTGAGGCTGAAACCTCAGGGTGTGTGCCCCCCTGCCTCATTCACAATCCTACCACACCTCTGGTAGCTTAGTTTCGCAAGTGTAAGTCAATAATGTTTATTATCTATCTACATGAATAATTCGGAGTCAATATACAATGATTGCTCCTGTGGGAGAGCCATTGGCTCCTCCGTCGCAGATCCACATCCTCTGACAAGCCAAAAGAGACAAAAAGAATCTCTCAGCCCGAGCATCTGCTCTCGCCTCACAGTGTCTTGCTATTTCTATGCTAGATTCGACCCCTAAGACCCTTGGCAAGGCCTCAACAGAAGAAGTAGATTGTTGAAGAGAAGAAAAGGTACATGGTTGATAACAGTGGGATGTGCTATCAAACATGCGAGGATGTAATAATAATATACCGAACGAAAGTAACGAATTGTATGCAGATATCCCATGCAGGCTGTATCGAGATGCGCCCCCAAACTCCAATGTAATGTAATGATGCCAAATATCTCTATGTCGAAGCTTATTGGAACTTCTCAAGGTCTCGCGACCTTGATTGCGATGCAATATTAAGTAGAGGTTACCGTTTACCGCAAAGGAAGCTTGGCGTCGGTCGCGCCATAACGAATAACATCCTCGACAGCCCATCTGGGAGGGTTGATGGGTGCACCGGTCTCTGCACGCCATTGCTTCTCCTCCTCAGGGGAAACGCTATCAGGAAGAGGCTCAAGACCACCAGCAATACCAGACGAATACCTCAACTGCATACGATCTGCGATTTCGTCGCAAGCGATCAAGAGGCGGTCAAGATCTTCCTTGTTGTGGGCTGAAGAAACGCAGAAGCGAGCACGAGAGGTAATCAGAGGAGTAGCGGGGTACCCAACAACCACCACCGAGATCTTGCGGCGAAGCATCTCGTGGGAGAACGCAGGGATCTTGGCAGGGTGGTAGAGCATAACGGGGACGATTGGAGAGTCATCATGTCCAGAGACGATATAACCGAGACGCTTGAGTCCCAACCGAAGATAGCGGGAGTTGAAAGCAATGCGCTCAAGACGCTCTTCACCTTGGCCAGGGCACAGCTCGCCGGTGATCATCTTGAGAGAAGCAAGAATTTGCATCAACACGCAGGGGGTGGGGGACTCTCCCAATTGCATGCCCACGTTCGAGGACTTGAGCTTGTCGATGATGTCCTTGTTCGCGGCAATGTATCCACCATTAGCACCAAAAGACTTGGTCAAAGTACCCATCAGAATATCAATATTGGAAGGATCAACACCAAAGTAGTCACAGACACCACGGCCACGAGGGCCAAGAGCTCCGACAGAGTGGGCCTCGTCAATGTAGAGGTAGAACTTGTACTTCTCCTTCAAAGACAGAATACCAGGGAGATCACACATGGTACCTTCCATGGAGTAGAGACCTTCGACGACAACAAGAATCTTCTTCCAGGGGCGGTGGGTTCGGGGCTGGCCTTGAGAGATGGCCTCACGGAGGACACGCTCGAGGTCACCAACGTGGTTGTGCTTGAAAGACTTGATAACAGCTCCAGAAAGACGAGCGCCAATGCGGATAGAGGCGTGGTTGAGCTCATCAGAGATAAGCAGGCATCCCTTTCCAACCAGAGCCTGGAAGGTACTCGAGTTGGTGACATATCCCATAGGGAAAACCATGGAAGCGGGCTTGCCCACGAAAGCGGCAATCTCGCGCTCAACTTCCAGAGCAAGGTCGGTGGTACCAGAATCCATTCGAGGGCTAGCGGAGGTGAGACCATATCGCTTGACACACTCTTCGACGGCATCGGCACAGGGGCCTTCAGACTGAGCAAAACCGAGATAGTTGTACGAGCTCATGTTAAGTGTCTCAGTGGTGGTACCGGTATACTGGTAGGTGCGGTTGAAGTCGTCCGACTTGCGGTCCAAGAGAGTAATGTATCGGCCGGGAACACCAGTGGTTGGGCGGGCAAAGCAATCGTCCAGCCTCATCTTGAGTCGACGGGTGTAGAAGTTGTCAAAATCGTCATTAAGAGGTGCATAACCGTTCTGCACCTTGAGCGAGTCGTAGTGCTTCTTGTCGCCGAACCGCTTGCCGAAGAAGTCTCTGATATGGCCCAGAAGAATGAGGAACAGGTAGCTGACATAGGTCGTCAGAATGTAGTAGTAAGGAGGCTCATCCTCAATGGGATCTTCCAGTGGCTGCCCATGAGACGCGCTGGTGTACCGATGGCTTGGGTGGGTGAGGGGACCAAACTGAGCTTCTGCCCGTCGTTGACGCTCAGCCTCCTCGGCACTCTGGGGCTCAAAGAGCATTGTGGTTGACGAGTTCTCAACGACGTTGGTGTCGGCCGAGGACAGAGAAATGGTAGGCAGCATTCCAGGGGATTGCATTGTGCCTGTGGCATTAGCCAGCTGGGGTTTCTGGTGCTGCTGCATGGCAAGGAGGCTCTGCTGGGTGTGCTCTTGGTTCTTGGAGCCGGAGAAGAATTGCGCTAGCCGGTTGGCTTTGGAACTGGAAGGACGCCTCTCGCGCAATATGTCGGATTGAGGCATTGCGGGAGTGGAGGAAGAGAAGGGATTCGCAAGTCGACGGGGCATTGCTTTGGCTGAGGAGCAGTATGTAGATGATGTAACTTGGATATAGTCCGAAGACTGTTGGTTTCACCCCTCACACAGATAATCAAGACCGCTCAAGACAAAGTCTGGTGACTATGGTAAATGAATTGTCAGTACAATTGCTATGAACTAGGCATGTGCTGTGAAGTATGGAGGCAGTGTGCGAATCTCCTACTCGCATCTTATCATGGACGCGCAGGCGGCAGGAGAGCTCCACAGCAAGTTCCAGAGATGTGAATGGCAAGAGTCAGAGTTCACTCCCGGCAGCCATCCACAAACTCCCGAAAAAACGCTGCTGCAAGGTTGGTGTTGCCACAATTGATGCATGCGAGAAACCAACAGCCAGGAATTAGGCGAAGCGGAGGGATGGGGAATGGGGATCGAGCGGTGAAGGCGGCCGTGTGCCAATGAGCCAGCCACACCGCCAGCGCCGCGCATATGCACCACGGCTCGAACCGGCAATCTCAAGATAACAGTCGGGTACTAACCTTGTCCAATGGTGAGACTCAATGCGATGTTCTCGATTGAGTGCTCAACGCGGCTTGAAGACAGTCCCGCGAGAGAGAGAGACGGGATTGGAAAGAGGTGAAGCAGAGGAACGCGAAGAAGCAGCAGGAAGCTGTTTTCTGTAGGGACTCTGCGGCGCCGGAAGCCCGGAGATGACGAAAGGGCCACCCTAGTAATGAAATGCCACCACCCGCGTTTCTGCGTCGACACCACGAATTAAACAGCGCAAACGAGTCGAAGCCTGCCTGAATGAATGTCGAGGGACTATCGACGCTCACGGTGACAGCAGCGGGAGGTGGTAATATTAAGTCGTAGGTTTGAAGAGCAGACGGGACTGAAGAGAAGGAAAAAGGCAGTGTGGCACGGGCGAGATGAATTGTGGGCACAGTGGAAAATTGGAGCTTATGCTAGAGAGAGTTTGTGACAGAGGAAAGGGGAGGGAGTCACGAAGCTTGCCGACCCGCCTGTCATGGGAAATCTTGTACTGCGATTGGGCAGACAAGAGACGAGGGGCAACAGGGGCGAGCCTTTCAGGTACCGGGCACTGTGATTTTATAGGCCCTGGGCAGCGAGCCCAAATTGCAGTACAGCACCCATGCTGGTGGCCAGTGGGCCTGCGACAGCGTTGATGGCTTCGACGGGACACCAGCGCCCTGTCGTGTCATCATCCGTCCAATGCCACGGAAGTACTCGTGCTGGTAGCTATTAGTCGTAGCTGTGTCGCGTGCGGATGAGCCCAAACATTTCGTGTGAGGACCCGAATCACACGGCAAGATGCCACGGTGCGATGCGCGGGCTGCCCCTCTAACAGCCGGCTCCCTGCGCACGCATCCATCTGCCTGCGTGGACGCTCAATGGCGATCGCCCGTTGTCTCCAGCTGATGCTACCTAACCAGCGAGATGTCCTGGGCGAAAAGGTACCTCCTCGCTACAGACGGCCAGCTCCATCCAGGCGATCGGTGCATGATCCACTAGTATATTTAACTTGCATGGTGCTAATTAGACCATGGCAGCGGCCAATGGATACACACCGAAGAGCCGGGCAAAATTTTCGGTATCCGCGAGAGTCAGGGGCCAGAGCGACAAGGCGCGCGGGCTGTTCCATACCCTGCTGTGTAAGCCTTGAATTGGGTCCCGGACGTTTGATAATATCCGATTCTTGCCTCTTCTGCTTGTCGCCCAGGAAGACGGGAGGCAAAATGGAACAACAAGGCTAGTCCCGAAAGTCCATACACAGTGCCCTCACACACAGACGCACAAGCAAGCTGAGCCCGAAGTGGCTTGTTCCATGACGGCATCGCAAGGGGGCTCGGCTCGGCTCTGCAGCTTCAGACAGCCTTTTGTGCCCGAGGCGCCTGACTGCTTGACCACACCCCAAACTGGAACCGGCCTATCTGCGACGGAATGGATGAAGTCTGAACAAATAAAGCCAACCTTAACGTTCCGCATTACTCATTATCCCGCGCATCCATCCACATCTCCGCTTCAGGATCATGCCACTACCGCATTTACTTGCTTTTCTGCATGGGCCGTGACTCCCGATCGGCGCCGAATAAGCGTGGATTCTCAGACCTGAAGCACTTCCACTTCTGCCTCTGACGACAGTTTCTTGTGGAAACAGCCATGTCCACTCCTGATCGTCAATCCAACAACATGCATAGCCATCCAATGCAACTATAAATATGTAGTGCATATGTACAATCGCGGCGTTGCTCATTCCAACCGCAGGTGAGGGGTTGAAACGCAAGATCGTCGTCATTAAAGTGATGAATAAGCCGCGAGACTGGCAGGTGTGGTGATCCTTCCCACGTTTTACTCTATATTTATTCTCATTGTGTATTTTTATCTATCTCCAAGGTATCATTGTTTCCCCGCCCAGTCTTTGAACCATTCCAAGGCCTCGGGGTTGGCAACGCTGGCATTGGTCTTGACATCCAGGCCCGATATTATCTGCTTAACGGCAACTTCAATCCTGACAGGTAAAAAAAAGGATGTTAGCGTATCGAACATTGTAGACAAGCCGAGGAAGCCGGCAACTTACTTCTTTCCATTCCCAGTCTTTGGGATTCCACTCCCGCACTCTTCCACAACGCCGGGCACGTGGCGGGGGCTCAGCTCCGTCTTGATCTTGGCCCTGATGTCCACCTTGATCTTCTCGGAAAAGGCAGTCCCCGCGGTCATCACTAAAAACAAACAAACCGTCTCGTCCGTGTCGGTCGATCTGCGACGACCCACGCAGACTGCCTCCTCGACCTCGGCGGCGAAGAACCTGGTCAGGATATTGTAGATCTCCGCAGACCCGAAGCGGACGCCGGACGGCTTCAGCACCCCGTCCGACCTGCCCAGCATGAGCAGGCTGCCCGTGTCCGGGTCGGGGATCTTGACGAAGTCGCCGTGGTGCCACACGGGGCCCCTTGCGCCGCAGATGTCCTGGAACCGCTCAAAGTAGGCCGCCCTATACTTGGCGTCGCCGTTGGGTCCGAAGAACGTCAGCGGCTGGCATGGGAATGGCCGTACGCAGACCAGATCTCCAGCTTCTCCGGCTGGGACCTCCTCCCCTGTGATCGAGTCCACCACACGGATGGCCATGCCCAGCCCGGCGCATTGGATCTCCCCGACGCGGACGGGGAGGAGTGGGCAGGGGGCGCCGAAGAGAGAAATGATGTCTGTGCCGCCTGTAATAGATCCTAGGTTGATGTTCTTGGGAAACGCCTCGTAGACAAACTTGAAGGTCGAAGGGGGCAGAGGGGAAGCTGTGGAGTAGATTGCTTCCAGGCTGGAGAGGTCGATGCCAGGCTCTTTAAGGGGCAATACATTGTTCGCTTCCAGTGCCGTGAGGTACGCAGCAGAAGTACCAAAGTGGGTGACCTTGAGTTCGGAAAGGATGCGGAGCAGCGACATGTGAGAATGCGGCCGGAAGGGAGAGCCAGAGTAGAGGACGAGGGTGGTGCCCGCGGCCAATGCGCCGATACTCCAGTGCCACATCATCCATGACGTTGTGGTGTAGTACAGCATGCGGGAAGTCTGCGTGAGTGAACAGTGAAGAATGTGCTCCTTTTTGTGCTGGATCAAGGTTCCCAGCGCTGTGTGCACGATGGCCTTGGGTAGACCCGTTGTGCCGCTCGAGTAGAGGATGTAAAGGGGGTGAGAGGGAGGTAGTTGCTCGAACGTAAGTGGTTTGTCGGCAGGCGAAGACGCAAGAAACGAATCGTAGTCAACGGAAACAACACCGAGCGCCGAGAGACCCTCAAGGCCAAGGTCAGCATTGATGTTGTTAATGACGACGACAGATTTTAAGGTCTTGGCGTTTTGTTGAAGCTCCTTCACGATCTCGAGGGTCTTGGACGTACTCGCCCACTCCTTGCCATTGTAGACAGTTCCGTTATCAGCGAAAAGCACCTTTGGTCCAATTTGCCCTAATCTATCCAAGACGGCAGAAACACCATTATCGGGACTTATTCCTGTCCAGATAGCTCCAACCGACGCCGCGGCGAGCATGGCAACCAGAGCTTCCACATGGTTGGAGACATATCCCGCAACGATGTCACCAGCCTTCAGGTTCACGGGTGATTGGCGCAGTGCGTTGGCGCAACGGCGCACAGCCTCCCGAAGCTCTGACCAGCTTGTCTCACGGAGAGAGCCAGGAAGCTCTGTGAGAGTGATGGTGGCCGGAGAAGAAGGGTCCAGAGGCGTTTCCAGGGGCGGGAATAGCAGGTTCTCAGCAAAGTTGAGGCGAGAATTTGAGAAGAAATCGGGGCGAGGAAACATAGGAGCATCCTCTGGGAAAGCTTTGAGCTAGACTTATTGTTAGAACTTCGACAGCAGATGAAACAGACAAAATGAGGAGGAGGGGGGGGCCTATGTCGTGCGAAATAGCAAACTGAAAGCAGCGCTGAATTGAACCAATTCTGAGGGAGTGGCTGGCCAAGAGATTCTTATGCGCCATGAAGCGCGACCAGCTTCTTGTCCCACAGCAATTGCCAACCATCCCCATCCAAGCGCAAACAAACCGAGAGATGAAGGATATCGGAGGGGATAGATCTCATACATACTTTACCGTCAACCTCGCCCTTAATGCCAACAAAATTCCAGCATTCTTCCCAAAAGAGTGCCACGTTATCGATTGACCACCTATAAAGCCCCTTGTAATCTGAAATGTTCAGATTGTGCTTCACATTGACATTCTGGATGAACCGCCACATCGCCGTCGACGCGGGGTCGGAATGCCTCCAGAGCTCCTCGGCCATTTTTACCCAGGTTCCTCAATCCGGCGAAAAGTGGGTGAATTAGTGACCAAAATCCTAAAAAGATGGAAAATAAAAGAAACTGGAGGGAACGAGGCTGAGAAAAAGAATAAACCAAAGACAACTGCTGCGATGGCGGAGAGGGAAAGGTTGAGAAGTTACTTTATTACCACCATCCTTTACTTAGGCTGAGTTCTGTTGGGATTAATGTTCCGCGGCATTGTACCGCATTGCTGTTAGTACAGCGTCGGTTCGGCTCCTAGACCGGCGCAACCCGTGGAAAGGCGAAATTGGGCCATCGGATCCGATACCGACTTGAACTTTATGGCTGGTGCTGTGGCTAGTGGAGTGGGACTTCCTCTGATCGACTTCTTCAAAACCCCTCTGTTCGTTCAAATGCCATTCTGTATTTGCCAAAGTTGATTGGCTATTAGTGCTCGGTCTAATGGTGTTTCACAGGCTAGGAGTAGCCGAGTCACATTTCGGCATTTCGAAAGTCTGGCAGAATATTGTATAAGACTCATCTAGCTTCATCGTCTAGCTGAACATATCTTCGTAATTCATTCATAGCATGCCTGAAAATGTTTCATCCCCCCGCCACCAGCCACATATATCCAAAGTCCGGGATAAAGAAAATAACAAAGTACCATGGTACATGTCCGTGTAGTATGCAATGCTCGAGCGAGCCCTCAAGACGCCTGGTTGTATATGCCAAAAGAAGAATCGGACAAAAATGTGAACATGTTGAGCGCGGGATTCCAACTCCTTTGCCTCTCCCACATGCCGGAAAATAAATCAACGCTTTAACTCGGTGCTGGACCCTGGAACAGGAACGTATGTGTATAATATGGCGAAATGGGTGTTTCCGGGGGTCGATCACTCGGTGATGGCCCCTTCTCCTCCCAGCTCCGAGCTCGACACCGAGTCCGGGTCGACGGATCTTAAGAGCAGCACCAGCCGGTAGGCGCTGTTGCCGTTTAGATAGTATCGATGCAGTTTCTTAGACCGGAGGAACCCTAGCCGCTCGTATAGTCTCATGGCAGAGAGGTTATCCTCCTCAGTCTCAAGGACGATCTCGTCGGCCTTGCGCACCGCCATGGCATCGATGGCCATCTTCACTAGCGCCGTGGCGACACCGCGGCCACGGTAAGGAGAGGCGACGGCCAGCATGGCAATATAACCCCGCCGCGTTGGGACCGAGTGCACGGCATGTACCTCGAGCTTACAAATAATAACTCCTATCAGCGAACCATCTACCGGGCTCAATGCCTATGGAGAAGTCAATATCGGGCAACCGGCAGCACTGGACTTGAGGAGGAAAGCTAAGAGGCCCGGCATACCATGAAGCAGAGATGTGCCCATTGGCAAAGGAAATAACGGTAGACATAGATGCTGTAAGGCTCGCTGAGGTCTTTTGAAATGAGTGCTCTAATGGCCGGAAGATACTGCGCTTCTAAATTATGATGGTACTGGACGAAATGGAGCTCCTGAGGAGGCTCTGCCGTTTGAGCCATGGTAAACGTAGTATAGCAGGACGGTAGCGCAGAATCACTTGCAGCTTGCTGGTGGACGGGATTGGTGGTATGGTGTGGGTGTGGGGAGGTGAGGAGTCGAGATGCAGAACCTCGGTGGATGAGGAGATAAAAAGTCGACGGTGATATATCAACCGGCGTCCTGCACCATCGACTCTGACGATGACTCACGATAGAGGCCTCGAGCACTCGCAGTAAGCCCGAAAGTCGCAACTAGTGGTGCCGGGTGGTGTGTTGGCGGGCGCCTGTTTGGTCAGGTTGACACGAGATTTCAGGCACCGACCTGCGACTTTTGCCCCAAGATCCCAGATTCCAGAAGTGGCGGTTTTTGCTGGGCATGGACGGGCTGGGGAGGGGTTTGGCAGCGGGACAAGTCTGGCGCGTGTGGCCAGGGATTTAGCGGGAAATCAGCCCTGTGTGCGCCTGAGGCCCGGCGAGTGACGCACCATTTAGCGGCCGCTGCGCCCTGAAGACCGCCCTTGGCTAACGGGCGCCCAGCACGGCCACGACTCCCCGCGTCGGCGACAAGTCCGCTGTCGGCGGCTTATGTAAGGCGAGCCGACGCGGGCGGATTTCCCCAACTTCCTCCTCCTGCTGGGCCTGCCTAACCTAGAGTGGCACAGAGTTTCCACGTATCATGGGAGAGGAATATGAAATAAAAGGCCAAGACAATGCGCCATAATTTCTAATTCGCCGGGGAAGAATGCGGAGAAAGAGGAGAGGCGCGATGATACATAAGTTTTTCTTGCATAAGCGCTTGCAATTGCCAGCACGTCGCATGCTCCTCGCCTCAGCACACTTAACACCGAGAACCGTGAATCCTGACAATGCTACGTGCTGACTGACCTCCTGCTCTTCCCACATAATTAGCTTTTAAGCATGGTTGCTCCCCACGTACCTTACCCAACCTCCTAGCTCCTTGTGCCACGGACCAGGGAGGCTACTCCCTCCCCAGCCAAGATCTTCACTCGCTACTCACCAAGTCGGCTCGCGTCGAGACTCCCCCACTTGCTCTTTCTTGCTTTTCCGGTTCTACATCTAGTATCCGGCCTCTCTCCAGGCTGGCCCCACGGGGTAATGGAGGCCTCATGTGAGTTGTCCTGCCCAAACCGGCCTAGAAACGCAAAGGCACCTTGTAATTCTGGTCTCCCACAAGGGTCCTTGTGCCATGTGGAGGTGTGTGTGCGGGGGAAACAAGGTCATTTTCCTCTCTGGGGTGGGGATGGATGAGAATACCGTCACATCAGAAGCCCTTGTTGATGAGGGGGAGTGCGTGGTGGTCATGGAAGTTGACCGAGAGCGCAATCCGCATTTACCTCGTGGTTGCCGTCGTGGTTGCCGGGACACAAAGTATAAAAGGGCACTGGTTTTCGTGTCTTTTCTGGCGTTGGTCAACTCTGAACCGCAACGGCTTCGAGACTCTTCTTACAGACTTACTGAACTGCCCTCTTCCTGATCACAGGAAAACGACCCCCCAATTATTTTTATTCGAGATATGGGATTTTTTAAAACTCATGCTGCTGGGACCAATGATCCCCCCGAGGTCCGTAACTGGACCATCCACATGATCGCCCTTGTGGCGTCCATGTCGGCTTTGGCAAGTATGTTTGAAGCTTCCATCCCAACTGTCCTGTCTCTGTCCTGTGGCTCGGTCAATATCCGTCGATCATGCTGACATGGTGTTACACATAGTGGGTTACGATACCGCCGTCATTGGTGGTACAATGGCTCTTGACTCGTTCAAGAAAGACTTTAAACTTGACGACATCCCCCAGTCGCAGATAGATACCATCCAAGGTAACATTGTGTCCACCTTCCAGGCGGGCTGTTTCTTTGGCGCTCTTCTCACTTTCCCATTCGCGGAGCGATATGGACGAAAGAAGACAATCCTTGTTGCTGCTCTGGTTTTCCTCCTGGGTGGTACTTTGATGAGTGCCGCTCAAGGCAACATGAACCTGATAGTCGGAGGCCGAGCTATCGCCGGTCTTGGCATTGGCTCAACCTCCATGTGTGTCCCTGTATATATTGCCGAAGTAGCCCCACCCTCCATCAGAGGTCGGCTTATTGGTATCTTCGAGATTGCGTCCCAGGGGGGTGGCATGCTTGGCTTTTGGATCAACTATGCCACATCCCAGACCATCTCCGTCGACTCCATTGCCCAATGGACCATCCCCCTCGCCCTGCAACTGGCACCTGGTGTCATCCTCGCCTCTGGTATCATGTTCTGCCCCGAGTCACCTCGCTGGCTGGCCAGGCAGGATCGCTGGGAGGAGGCCGAGGATGTGCTCATCAAGGTCCGCAACCTTGACTCAAGCCATACCTACCTCCAGCAGGAGATTGCCGAGATTCGCTTGCAGGTCGAACAGCGCAGTACGATGAGGCTCAGCCGTAAGCAGCAGTTCAAGAAGCTGTTTGCACCTGGCGTGCGCAACCGCATGGGCATCGGCATGGCCCTCATGCTTCTCCAAAGCTGTAAGCTCCACTCATGTTTACCTACCATTGCAACAACATGTATGCTAATCATCTAATACAGTCACTGGTGTCAACATCATCACCTACTATGCCCCAAGAATCTTCGAGACTCTTGGCATCAGGGGAACTAGCACCAAGCTGTTCTCCACCGGTCTCTATGGCTGCTTCAAGACCCTGGGTATGATTACATTCACCTTCATTGTCGTCGAACGGATTGGTCGTCGCAAAGGCCTCGTGTGGGGCGCCTTCTTGGGCTGCATCCCCATGTGGTACATTGGCGGATACGTCTTGCGGGCCGACCCGGCCGGAGCAGCCGCGGCAGGTCAGACACAGCAGACAGGCTGGGGATACCTGGCCATGGCCTGCGTCTACCTCAACGCCTTCATCATCTGTGCTACCTGGCAGGGCATCACATGGACCTACGCTTCGGAGATCTTCCCTCTGGACATCCGCATGCTCTGCGTGGCCATCACCACGGCGGACACTTGGCTGGGCTCCTTCATCATTGCACGGTCAACCCCCTACATGATCAGCGGCCTTGGGTATGGAACGTATTTCGTCTTCGGCGGCATCGTCGTGCTGATGGGTATCTGGGCATTCTTCTTTGTGCCGGAAACAAAGGGTAAGTCGTTCTATTGCTCACCTAACATACCTTTTGATTACTTGGGACTAACATCTTTCTTCCACAGGTGTCTCACTCGAGGAAATGGACGCGCTCTTTGCTACATCCACTGTCAAGACGGTCTGGGCGCAGCTCCGGGGCAGGAAGCTCCCTAGTCTTGACGCAAGCGGCGTCAGGACCAGTGAGAAAGAGGACGTGGAGATCGCTCATCAGGAGAAGCGATAACACGGGCCGATTCGTTGAACCTAGGGCAAGTCACAGCGAGGAGCAGTCAGTTGGGGGGATCGGGGGCAAGTTGACAGCGTCATATTGCTCGTTCCTTTGTTTAGCAAGCGGGTCTTGGGTCGAAACGACCACTCTCCCCCTCCACTTACTTTAGTCAGTTTCTCAATGATGCAACGAATTGGGCGAATCTCCGGATTCGTACCTCCCAAACTCTTCCTTTCGGGCCTTGAACCCCTGAATACTTACAGTGAAAATGAAAGAAATACCAAATGGAATGCTATGTACCAGCCAGATGTTTGGTTCAAGCCAGTACTCCCAGACGCCAGTTTGAAGGCAAAGTTTATATAAGAAAGTGGTCCACATCCTATGTCAGTACTTAGAGGACTTAAATACTTGCCATTTCAGGAATGTATTGGACGGGTTGCTGCTCCATCTGCTGAGGCCGCTGCTCGGGCCGCGAGTTGGGATCGAAGCTGCTCATGGGACGGAACCCTTCAGGCTGGATTGCCTGGATAGTAGGCTGCATGGGCTGCTGCATCGCGGGGGCCATGGGCACGCTGTGAGGGGCAGCGAAGCCAGCCGACGAGTGGTGGGGCATGGCGGCGACTCGAGAAGGGCCAGGAGGAGGAGCAGGGTGCTGGAGGAACTGGATCACGTACTCGAGCTTGGCGTCCAGGCGGCGGTTGCTCTCCGCCAGCGTCGAGACGACGGAGAGGGTCTGGTCGGCCACGCGGGTGAGGTGGATCTGGACTCTCATCAGCTCCCGCATGCCTCGCTCCGTGTCTGCGAGCTGGTCTTGGAGCTGGGCGACGTCCGTGTCGTCGACGTAGTCGCCGAGGACTGGGTGGTGCTCGAACATGTTGGAGTGTGCGCCGGAACTCTGGCCACCGTCCGATTCGAGCCAGTTGTCTGAGGTGAGAGGTAGTTCTGTGTCAAGGTGATCAAGTCGGGCCTCGACGGAAACACCTTGGAGGCCGATGGGGACGTGTCTGGAGCCGTCTTGGGCGGCACGTAGGGCGGCTTCTTTGCGAAGGTGGCGCTTAACCATGACTTCTGCGTCGACGCCGCAAATCAACTTGCCACTCTGGCGACTGTGTTGGTGATATAGAGAACCTGATTAGTGGACTGTATAACTCTGATATTGGGATCTGATGTGAGAGATGGATGCTTACCGCTTATCCATGACTGCTCGAAGGTTTGAAACCAGCATGTTTCGTCGGCCTTCGAGAGATGCGAGCCGGTAGTCCTCACGGCGGGAGATGCGAGTGCACGACTGCCACATGGCGTTGTACTCCCTGTTCTTGGCCTGCTCGAAGCGACGCTTCTCTTCGGGCAGCTTTTCAAGACGAGCTCGAGCTCGGACTGTTGGAGGGTGGCTTGAGTATTCAGTCGAGCCTCGGAGGCGCTTGTCCGGCATTTTGAGTGTAATCTTTCCAACGAATGATGGAAGCAATAGTTTAATACTTGACAAGAGCTTGATGGTTCTGTTGTTTGGTGATAATATCAGAATGTGGTGTGTTGTGTGTTTTGTTCTAACCAAAGGCACAGTACTGCCCCTAATTGTGAGAATAATGTGCCTCTAGGACCGAATATGAGTCTGGTTGTATGTCAAAGGAACAGACTAAAAGAGGCAGTCAAGATGGAAGTGAAAGCGTGAAGTCGAAGAAGAGATGAAGATAACGAATGCACGAGAAGCTATTTGAAGGTGCAGACTCTTGCGAGATGCAAATTTGAGTGCTTCTGCCCTGGGAGAAGAAGGGGAGCTTCACTGCCTAAGACTCAGAGCCGATGTGCGGAGGGAAAATCAGCTGATCCATGATCGAAGAGCAGCCGCTGGAAGCAGCGCCTAGCTAACATGAAGCCAGCAAAATTTCCGTGTCCTCTGCTACAGAGCAGGCCAATGCCATTTATAGAGGGAGACAAAGCCAAGTCTTTCCCGCAATGCCTTTTCCCTTTCATTAAAACCATTATTTGGTAGACTTTGATATATAAATAGGCCGGCTTTGGCATCATCGTCGTCGATATACCCTCCAAACTGATCAAAGTAGAATGAAATGTCGAAGGTCAGCGGCCAGTCGCCGGGATAAGAACAAAAACATGTGGTGGAATGCATACACTTGTCCTTAGCCTGGTTGATCTACTACGGATCTGATGATGAACAAAGGCCCGTACAAAAGGTATATTTATTTGATTCAAATTCACCTAATCTTTAAGATCAAAGAAAGAGGTCGAATAATGGACATCAAACTCTAGCCTTGTCATTCTTGTGGCTGAGTCTTTCTTTTAGATCCGCGGCTGGATCTGTGGGACCCATATGCACCTTATCCATGTGGTTAGGCTGACACTAATAGCTTCTGCCGACATTATTGTCCGTTTATCGTTGGAAACGAGGAATGCGAGATGAGACTGGATGGTGATTGGCCACAACGGCTGTAGATCGCCCAACTTGGGTCTCCCCACACGGCAACATCATTCTTCTTGGGCTGCTTCCATCTCGTTTCCCTCGTTCCTGAGCTTCTACGTGCTGATCTTAGTGCCCGGCGTTGGTGCCGACAAGGCGCAGGACCACCATGACGCATCATCGCATCGCATCGCATCGCTTCGCTTGGAGTTGGCTGACATTCTGATAGTGTCCCAGCAACGACCGGGCGAAGAATGTTTCTGGGTATATATACTATGGCTGCATCTCAATCTCAATGACACTTGACCACTTCTCACCATCAATACACGACCGCATCAATTGGTCTAGCTAAAATCTGATTAACCATGCGATCGATATCCCTTCTAGCACTTTGCCTTGCGCCGGCCGTCATCCACGCCGGCCATGTCCCCTCCAACTCCTGTAAAGCCTTCCCAGGAACCAACAAGTGGCCTGCCTCGTCGCAATGGGACCGGCTCAACGCCACTGTGTCAGGCCGTCTCATCAAGCCGTTGGCGCCTGGAGGCGTCTGCCATCCGGGCCAGCCCAACTACAACGAGGAGGAATGCAAGAAGCTCCCCGACGAGTGGAAGACGTACGATTGGCACAGCCGGGACCCTGTCTCGATGATGTTCGCCAACTGGGCCAACTGGACGTGCTTGCCCGACCCAGCAGCGCCCTGCAGCACCAGCGGGTATCCTGCGTATGTGGTCAATGCAACGACACTCGAGGATGTGAAAGCCGGAGTTGATTTTGGTGAGCACTCTTCTCAAGATGACCTACATTGGAAATAGTATGAGAAAACTAATAGAGACGAAAAAGCTCGGGAGAACAGCGTCCGAATCGTCGTCAAAGGCACTGGTCATGATTTTCTAGGCCGGTCCAATGCCCCGGGCAGTTTGTCCATCTGGACACACTACCTCAACTCGATTACTTTCCATTCCGGCAAGTTTAAGCTGACAGGCAGTGATATCGTCATCGAAGGCGACGCCATCACGGCTGGTGGCGGTGCGCAGATGTACGACTTGTACAAGGCTGCCGACGAACACAACGCCACCATTGTCGGAGGCGGAGCCAAAAGCGTGGGAGTCGGTGGATATTACACTGGCGGCGGCCACGGCTTACTTGCGCATGACTATGGACTTGCCTCGGACAACGTTCTCGAGATCCAGGTGGTGACACCAAACGGGAAGATCCTCATTGTAAATGAAGCTCAGCATTCAGACCTCTTCTGGGCGCTACGCGGTGTAAGTCCGGACATCTCTCCATACCATCATTGAAAAGCCTAGCTAACTGACGATATAGGGAGGTGGTTCAACTTTTGGAGTCATTACATCCATCACTATCCAAGCCCACCCAACACCGGTACTGCAGCATATCAACTTGATTGCCGGCATTCCCGCAAACTCTACCCGCAGGGACGAGTTCCTCAGCTTCATGCTCAACAAGGTCCCGGATTTGCTCGACTCCGGTCTCAGGGGTTACTGCTTCCTGAACCCGCTGGGACTTCCGATGCCAATCCCTGGCCTACCGGATGGCATGTCAAGCTTTTCGGGAGCTTTGATATTGATTAACAAGGGCCCAGAGGCGGTTTATGAAATCCTGGCGCCAATAAACGCCACAATCCAGGAACGCTTTGGAGGCAAGGCAGGTATATACTCGGACGGAGTCAAGTCGTACAACAGGTTGCTTGATTGGTTTGACGTAAACTATGATTCTGGGACAACAGGCGGCACAGCTCTCATGGTGTCTAGGTTGATCGACCGAGCACCCTTGAAGGACAAGTCAGACGAGACCGCCCAGGCCCTCATTACTGCTGCAAAGGCTGCAGGGTTGATCTCATTCTATCCCCTGGGAGGCAAGGGCGTGAATGAGGCAGTTCCGCGAGGAGGTTCCAACTCGGTGAACCCAGGCTGGCGAAAGGCATACGTCCATACGTGTAAGTCCCAACCTCCCACTTTCGGCAACGTTTGTGATCGTCATCGAAAATGATGCTGACACTGAGATAAGTGAGCGCACTGCCCTTTACACCGTTTAATAGGACCTCTGAGAAGGAAGTTGCGGAGTTGCTCGACGCCTCGTTTGACCCACTTCGCAAGCTCACACCTGGTCTTGGAGCTTATATCAATGAAGTGAGATAACAGTTCCCACCGCACTTGGTGAGCCAGCTAACATTCAGCAGGCCTCTCCGTATGAGGAGGATCCTTACACAACCTTCTGGGGAGACAACTACAAGCGACTTCTTGAAATCAAGCGCCGTGTTGATCCTAAGGATGTGTTTTGGTGCTCTCCTTGCGTTGGAAATGAACGGTGGAAGGAGCGTGAGGATGGAAGACTCTGCAAGGTTGACCCTGCGGGATTTCTTGACTGAAATAATCATGTGTCGAAGATGTTGAATTAGATTCTGGGAATAAACTGATCAAGATTTGTCATTCTCGCTTGTCGTCTCTGTTGGAGTTTGCGACTCCGTTGGCTCCTTTTCAAGCGTAGATAGTGTAGCTACAGCAAGTTGAGGCCGCCAGTAAATGGTAGTATTGGTGAATGCGGTGCTCATCGGATCCTGAGGGTGTTTCTTTTTTGAGTAGGTTTCCTCCATGGTCTTCGCCATTGCCAAGTCATCCATCGTTCCCAGTGTAACTCTAGTCTAACCATTAGCGGGCCGTTTGCGTCTAAGTCGAAAGAAAAATACTCACGTATCCCACACATCGAGATCTGTGCCTATAAACACAGCAGGGAGACACTTCTCGAGAGCTTTTGCGTAAATGGGGCGGTACAGGTGCACTCCCGAGAGAAGTGTGTTGCCGTCCACCTTCTCGAAACCTTCGGGAGAACTGACCACGTCGTGCCCAAGAGAGACAATGAAAGCTTTATCGGCCTCCCCAAACACGGGGTCTTGGAAGTAACATTTTACTTTGGTTTTATCCCTTTTCTCTGCATTTCCCAAAGTTAGTCTGTAAAAGCACCGTATATCTATGGAAGGGACAATTCCTTACCCAAAGCCTCAACCATCAGAAGAAACCCAATGAGCTGGATAAAAGTGCGTCTCTTCGTTTCCCAACCTCCATCTGGCGGATCGAAAGTTCCAATTCCAAGGCAAACGGCCTGAGATACATCTTTTGGGCCATTCTTGGTCATCAGTTCATGGAGCTCCTCGCCTGCCTTCGTGACCTCAAATTCAGAGCGTATGCGCTGATATTCCGAGGCAATTTCTTCAGGCGATCGGGTATTCTCCGTCTGTACGGCATGAATTTGATTTTCTTGGACTGTGTGTACCGCTTTTGGTGATTTTTTTCCAGGACGACGACGGGATTTGGACTTGACATGAGTCCAGCCGTCGTCAGCTTCGGCTTTTTCCAACGACATTTCTTCTTCTTGATTCATCAATTAATTCAATTATAATTGAAACCTATGTTAATACTAGCGATGGTACCGCACTTTCGATAACTCTTCCATCAAATAGAGAAATCCGGCTAGCGGGTGGCCCTTATCTTATCGGGCGCCGGTTCAAGGCTTAGTCACCTACGTAGCACATCTGCACCAAAGTTATGCAATATTTTATGTAGGTACATATTAATATTTTATGCACCTCCTCGCAACCTGGATCCAGGATCGTAGACCAGTTGGTTCCCCCCTGTTGATGACCCAGTACTTTTGTAATTTTCCTCGGCTAGCTGGCTCTTTGAGATGGCAGCGTGATTTACCATGTTTCTGTTGGTTGGCGACGTATAAGCCGTAAAATGGCAAGTTCGCCAATTTACTGGATGCGATGATATCCCGGCGTAAGCTATCAATGCAACCTCGTGATGAGACTGATTGAATATCAATCCACTCACATGCCCGCCCCCGTACAAATAGTTGCCTGCTTTGCTCTTACTTTGCATGTTCGGTGTTCAACAACGAGATTCCTCCTACCTAACTCCCCACTCGATCCTGAAGTAATCGGCGGATGCCTCAGTCGACTGATGGTGGAACACAACTCAACTCATCATTTTCATCAAAATCTCGGATAGATAGGAACCGGCACTTCGCCCAAGGCTCTGCGATCTGTCTTGCCTCGCAATTGGTAGACTTATGACCTTGTGGAATATCTAGATGGCTTCGGAACTTGTTGAAAGACTTCAGGGTAGGTATGATAAAGCCGTAGTGGTATCGAATTCGGACATTCTACTGACATCGATCAGAATGGCTTCCGTGGACCAAGAGTCAAAAGGAGCAGAGCACTTATAAATATGGCGTTCTTGAATCAGACGAGATTCGGACATTGTTGATCCAACCTGGTGCCAGCGGAAGCCCCCTGACCGGCCAAATCGAGCAACACAAGCTTGGTGACCCTGATAAGTCCTACGAGGCTCTTTCCTACGTCTGGGGGAGCCCGAAGCGTGGAAATGTTATACGGATTGGCGAAAAGGATGTTCTGGTCACGCGAAATGCTACAGAGCTTCTGCTGCATCTCCGTGATGAACACCATCCCCGCCGGGTATGGATTGACGGCATCTGCATCGACCAAGACAATCTAGACGAGAGGAGTCATCAAGTCACGCTGATGCAGGCGATATTCTCAGGAGCTTCAAGCGTTCTGATATGGGTTGGGGAATCAGACGAAGATACCGAGAGTGTCTTCTCGTTTTTTACTTTGATGGACGAACGACGTCGAGATCGGGCCGAGGCTGAGACAAACGAGGACCAGAATGAGCATCCGGATACTGAGTTTGTCAGAAAGAGTATTAAGGATCCCTCCAAGGTTCGAAAATTTGCAGATCGCCCCTGGTTCCATCGATCTTGGACTTTTCAGGAAGCATGCCTTTCACCCGAATCGTATCTGATCTGTGGAAAACATCAACTGCACTGGCGGATCTTTGTTTCGGCGGCCCTGTACCTGACATCCGCGGGAATGCTCAACGTATTCGGTCAGTCGGCAGATACGATTGTGGCTCTCGCAAATCTGGCCGCTGCAAATCCCAGCCACCAAACTCCGTATCTTTCCGTCATCCTTCCGTTGACGCGCGAACTGAAAGCTGCAAGCCCGTACGACAAAATATTTTCAGTTCTTGGCATGGCGGACCGAACAAACATGCCCTCACTCGATTTGTCATATAGCCTCCCTGTATCTGAGGTGTACGCGCGAACCGCCAAAGCTACGATGGTGCAAGAACAGGGACTCTCGGTCCTGTCTGGCGTCCGTGGACCAGACCGGCAGGATCGAAACTTGCCCTCCTGGGTACCTGATTGGAATCGTTCCCGGCCTGCTGCTTATTTTCACGGATATGACTGGCCCAACACAACTCATCTGTATGATATTAACAAAGGCGCAAGCTTCCCGAATGACATCCCGGATGATCTCGGACCAGAAACTCACATCCTGAAGCTGAGAGGTGCGAGGCTCGATGTCATAACCCACGTGTGCGACGGGAAAAGACTGCTACTCGAGACTGCCACATTGAAAGGAAGGACAGACAAAATAGCTGCCCTGTCCGCCAATGACGAAATGAACCTGTTGCGGAAAGAACTTGATAAAATCCCCTTGAAACTCGGATTTTCGCCCTTGGACAGATACAAGCAGACCCGGGAGGATATCATCCAAGCTCTCGTGAGAACGCTGACTGCCGACCGAGGTGGGATTGGGGGGGAAGGAGGGGGGAAATGGTTCACGGACTATGAAGAATTATGGCACCTTAGTATGAGGAGGGAGGTTTTCCTCGGGAGCCGCTGGCTCTGGGCCATAAGCGGGAACGAACCAAACCCAGACGTAACTGAACAGATGAGCGTGCTAACCATTGCCATGTGGACCTTCATGGCGGGGAGGAAGATATTCAGAACGCGTCATGGGCTGCTTGGGATTGCAGCCGAAGGCACCAAGATTGGAGACGAGGTGTGGGATATAATCGGCGGGCAGGTCCCGTTTGTGCTGAGGTCGAAGAAGACATGGTTCCGGGAGAACCCAGGCACAGCAGGGACGGCAAGATTACAAGTAGTCGGTGAAGCGTACGTTCATGGGGTGATGAAGGGTGAGCTTTGGAAGACGGCGGAGGAGGAGGAGACTACGCGGAGGAGCACAAATACGTGGAGCAGCACAGATACGACTTCCGACGCTTTATACGGCGATGCTCTTGAGTTTGAAGACCTGGAACTAATTTGAATATGCAGTTCGTCAGTCAGACATTTATTGAACAGTAATTGATCATCTGCACCCGTAACTTGAGAATCGTATGGCCCTTTTATTAGATAAGTGCGAGCCTTTGTCTGATACTTAGGTTCCAAGATCACGAGATGATAGCGATGAAGTATTATCCATGAGCCTTGAACTTGAATCCACATTTTCCATTTGGATCTTGGCTTGGAGAAACCCACGAATTACTCAATGCGACAGGAGTGTGTCGATCAAACACTAGAAGTACTCTCAGACGTGTAGATACCGAGTGTGGCCCTTTGTGAAGTATGGGGCCACTATAAGCCGGTATCTTCTCATTAGGAATTCAACATTTAGCTACTTGGCCGTAGGAATAGATTTCAGAGCATTGTGAATTTTTTTTGGTGGCTTCCATCCCTCTTATTGCAGCTACTTCTTGAACCAAGCGTCTAGCGATAAGAAGCTCAGAAGTGCTTGCTGGGCGGAACACTCGCTCATGGTTTCTGCTTTGGCTGCTACGTGTAACAATAAGCCGGCACAGGCCTTGCCGGGGATGACCCTGATGATGCTGGATGTGACACCAGACAGCAGGGCGCTAAAGCGTAACGCCCGGATGTCCAGATGTCCAGATTTGTGGCGCGATCTGTCTGATCCGGGCGGACTGATGAATTATCGTACGGTGAAAACGGCGACGATTGCAGCGTGGGCTGGCGAGAGCTTGGGCCGTCTCGAGTCCCGTCCTGGTGCCGAAATGCATGTTGGTGACGGACCGTGATGGAGGGACGCCAGTCTAGCCCCCAATTCCCACGCAAAAGGGCTGCGGGGGCTCCTCTCGCATCTGGTTGGGCGATGCTACCTCCATCTGCAACCCTTCTCGCGATGCCGATTGGTGACAGCTCCCCTGGCCCATCCAGACTCCCCACCCAATATGCATACGTTTGCTGGGATCTGGGCGCTTACAGCTTCAACTGCCCGACCACCAGCCCCTCCCATTGGCCGTCCCTCTGGCACATCACACGGCCCGACCGTGAGGAGAGGGGGTGGGCGGCCGGCGACGTGGAGGCTGGACTCGAGCAATCCTGGCCTGTGACTGGGCCGCCCGAGACTGCATCCCCAAGGAATCACAGCGGGACATGCGTGGACTCGGCGCCTCCCCAGCGCTTCTCGTTGGGTCGTTTGCCCAGTCAGACCAAGCAGCCATGACAGGCCACCTCGGGTCTTGGCTGGGCCGCCGGGGGAGGTGGCCGCTCACTTAAAAGAATGCGGCCGGCGGCTGCACGACTCTGCGTCTTCCCCAAACACCCTCTCAGCCCTGCCACGACGAACGAACCCTTCTTGCCCTTCTCCCAACTCGCTGCTTGACCGACCGACCTGACCTGCCCCCTTAGCAGTCTGAAGCGGCTAGTGTGTCTGATACAGAGCCGGCTCTCCTCACGATCTCCCTCAGGCGAAGACTAGGAGCCATTGCTTGCCCTTCTGTGAAGAAGCAAACTGCAAAAGGCGGGATTTGCCTCAGAAGCAAGGGATTTGGCAGCATATCGTATTGTTCACCACCAGGTGAAACCGCGAGATCGACTTGACGTGGGCTGCAACGGCCACCGCAACAACAAGCTCTTTTCTTTACTAGCTCTTACACCTCTCCTCCCAAAATGCGATCCGAGTCCCTCCTTGTTCTGCTGTTCGCAGCATTCGCAACAGCGCACATTGTCATTAGTTATCCCGGATGGCGAGGCAACAACCTCATCACCAATGACACATTCCCCTACGGCATGCAGTGGATGTACCCATGTAAGAAAACGGCCCCAAGAAGCAGATAAAAAGCAGCTCTAGCTTTTTGAAAGAAATCAGTATGCTAACCTCCCCTCCCCAGGTGGCGGCATCGGAACGACCACGAACCGCACGTACTGGCCAACAACCGGCGGCGCCGTCGCCTTCCAGCCCGGCTGGTTCCGCGGCCACGAGCGGGCAAACATCCAGGTCAACATTGGCTTCGGCACCAACGGGCCCGACAACGGGCCCATCGACATGTCCAACCAGATGGTCCCCGTCATCCAGCTCCTCGGGCCCAGCAACGGGCCCTACCCGGGAACCGTCTGCTTCCCCCAGGTGCCCATTCCCTCAGGCGCCAACATCTCGGTCGGCGACAAGGCCACCATCCAGGTCGTCGAGCAGGCCCAGCACGGCGCCGCGCTCTTCTCGGTAAGATGAACCCCAAATACCATAAATCGATTGATAAAAATGCTAATTTCTTTTGAACAGTGCGTTGACATCGAGTTCGCCGCCCCCGGAGACCCAAAGATCGAAAAGGTCACCGAGGACAACTGCTTCAACTCGACTGATTTCGGATTCGCCGAGATCTACGCAATCGCGACCACGAACCCCGTCACCGGGAAGGCATACGACGGCGTCAAGAACGACGCTGTCTCGACGAGGAGCAGCCTCGGCCTGATCTCGACCGTCGTCGCCGTTGGGCTGTGGGCGCTTCTGTGAAGAGCCGATTAGCCACCCCGAAAGCCGGGCAGGTTAGGCTTACGGAATTTTTGTATATAAGAATGCATGGACAATGACGGCGTTTAATTTCTTGGGAGGGCCTTTTTATGGACTGGCGGAGTTACGGGGAACCTTCGTGTTCGAGTTATTTCCAAATATTCCCCATCAGTTAATAATGAAAACATGTCTTTTTGATGCTTCACAAGACGAACGCCAAATATCTCGCCTTAAAGGCAAATTTATGATTACTCGAGTAGTTTTTTTATATGAGATGCTGGCTAAAAACAAGGGACCATCTCTTGAACAAGTCTACGAAATATGAATGCGCTCCTGGCTCTGATACTCCAACAGCACGTGTCAAGAGTCAGTATGATGTGAAAATCCCATCCGGGCCCCTTCCATATGCATGCAAGTGATCTGCAGACAAAGCGACTGCTCGGCTCCTTCCTATCCGACCGCCCAGGTTCTCGGTACTCGAGCCGCCGGGAGCCATGTAAAGTCGCGCCATCACCGTCACGCGCGGCTACCAGGTCCTTATAGTCCCGACCCCTGGCCTCATTGTGAGACCACTTTCGAGATCTCTTGTGCGACTGCTCTCAGTCTCTCTTCAGCGCCCCTGTCAACTGCACCTTGGACCCAGCCGGCCACATCCAAGTTAGAGGCAGCTTCTGGCGATGTAATAAGAACTGTGCCTAGGGAAATGAGACCTCGATAGAGAACTTCTGCGTCTGACTGGTCAGAGAGGTTTGACCCAATAATGTTGAGCAGGCGTCGACGCTGGTTCGGTGTGAGAAGCTTCTCGCGAGCAACAAGAACTGCGTAGTTTAGCGACGCTGTTGATGCTGCGATCTGAACATTGCGATTGAGTTTGCCGATCGCATTGCCCCCTTGTATGCCTGCAACACGCTCGAGGAAGGAAAGGACAGTGTCGGCTTTGGAGCTCGCGATGCTGCGGCCATCAGCCGACCCAAAAAGGTTAACCAGCACACGGATCCCCATCATCACCGCATTCTCGTTGGGGGTTTCGCCCTGAGGTAAAGCCGAGGATATCGCCAGATCAATGATGGATCCATTCTCACCATCCGAGAACTGTGCTACAGTAGGGTACTTGGCCATGCAGCGAAGCAGGTCCAAGCCGGCCAGTCTTTCTGTGTATGTCCATTTCGTAACAACACGGACAACAAGCTCGAGCCCTCTGGGAGGCAGGGGCTTAGACGTCTCCAAGGACTCCCGGAGACTCTTGAATATAGCCTCTTCCGCTGGATTTAGCGCCGCATCTTTTCGACCGGCAGACACCATTGTCTTGTTGACAGCAATGATTTTGTTGAGAATCGCTAATACACAAGTCAGTCAAATTCTTCGTTTCGTTCGAGTGATGATTAAGTTCCTTACCCTCGTATTTGGCAGCGGATATGTTAAGGTATTCTTTTTGTGGGATTGCCTTGGGCTTTTGCTCTTCGCCAGGGCGATATCTTGATTCGGTACCATAGGGATCTGGACCGGCAGCCTGCGACTGTGGACCAAGCGTTGCCCCCTGGGTATTCTGTGTGATGAAATTGGCAACATTGTCCAGATAACTCAACGGCAGCTCGTTGTCACCTAGAAACTTTGTCGCCCTATCATAAGGATTCTCGGAGAGGTTGTACGGTAATTTCAAAGGAGGCTTTCCGTCCTCGATGTCGACATCAAAGACAAAGTCATATGATTGTCCCTTGTACTCAACCTTCTTGCCACTGCTACCAACGGCGTCCACCACAGTCCCAACATTGATCCACTGCTGTTGGCTCACTGACCATGTATGTGCAGTTACGGAACCGTTGTCCTCCTTGATCATTTGCACTTGGCCTTCTTTAGTTCCGGACTTTGTGGTCAGGAATTCGGGGCCGGGCAATTTCTCTTTGTTGACTCCGCCAACTTGCTGTTGCGGGATAGCAGATCCTTTCACAGAATCTTCAAACTCTTTGAGTGTGACAGCGTCAGCAATACGATCAGGGCTTCGTGTGAAGACACGTGCCACGGCATCGCTGGCACCTGTCACGATATCGCCTGTTTCCTGGTTTACTGCAACGGTCCATACAGATATGGCGGGATGTGTTATCGTCTGAATGCACTCACTCCCCCTCCACACCCTCACAGTACGATCTTCACCCGCGCTTACCAGCTCGCCACTTGGCAGAGCTGCGAGGGAGTAGACGAAGCTCTCGTGTCCATGCAACTCGGCAACTGCTTGGCCATCCAATTTCCACAGTCTGATAATCCCATCGTTGCTGGCGCTTGCGATACGAGCCCCGCTGGGATGGTTATCTGGTACCCTACAGAGTGCTCGGACGATTTCAGGAGTGTAGATCGTAGCTTGAGGGCTGACCTCACCGCCTGTGGCTTGCCCAAGATTGAAAATACGGATGTTCTGATCGGCGGACGCAGTGGCAATAGTTTTGTCGTCTATTGCGAGAACATTGAGCACAGACTTATCATGGCCATCCAACAGAAACTCAGTGTCCCAATTTCCTAGATCCCAG